TGCAAGTTTTCATTTGGGTTCATATCTTGGAGGTTGAATTTCATTAAACTGATGTCTTTGAAACCCATTTTTAGCAAGGCATGTTATCATGGGCATTGCAGAATATGAAGTGACATTGTTTTGCAGGAATGTACTCTTTAGATGAAAGCTTCTTGGTTTTGACCTGTACCACTCAAATGGTGACTGTTCCAAGAATTTACAATAATATTCTGCATTTATTTTAAAAACATCAACTATAATGGGAACTTTAATTTTCAGTCTATCATCAGTTTTCATGTACTACTTTGCCAAACTTGGACATTTCTCTTTGTGTTGTTTACTTAATGGTGGTATTTTGGTTGCTTTCATGCCTTTAGCCAATATTTTTTTCTGCATTCTTTAATTTTAATATTCTGCATTCATTTCAATCTGTTTATATTTGTAACACCATATTCTTCAAATATTTTCTTACATGTCAAACCATTTTTCTTTTTCTTCTCTTTTTAATCTTAATTTTTAAACATTTTTCTCAAATCTCTTTTAGAGATAATCTTAAAGCTAGACTTTTTTATAATTCTTTTTTGTTCTTATCTTGCCAAAGTTTTCAATTTCTTTTTCTATTGTTCTTTGATCTTTGTTCAACTTTTTAGGAATTTCCAACCTTATGTACTCCTTGCTCAATAACTTTACCATATCCTCTTTCTCTTTGAGATTATATCTTTATCATGACCCATGGCAGTATTTATATGTTTGAAATTTAAAATAAAATTAAAAATGAATGTCAATATTTACAGTATCATATATATTTATTTACAATATAATAAACAATCCTTAAGTTGCATCAGATATTTACAGTAACTTATCTGGAGGATAAATTCTTGTAAATTTTTCTCATAAAACCAACTAAGTGTATTTATAATATAAATATATTCCAAGAAATTTAACATAGATTGGTTAGGAATTTTGTTTAGAAAATAATGTTTTACATAATAAAATCTAACATATGATAGTTGAAAGATAATATGGGGAAAAAATCCTATATTACACCTTTCATTTTTTTGAAATGATTTATTCAGACTAATAATGATTTTATCAGTGGAGTTATCTATCTTTCTAATCTGTGTGTGTGTGTATATATATATATATATATATATATATATATATATATATATATATAGGTGGAAAAGAAATACAACAACTGTTGGTAACAATTCTACGTCAAGAAATGATAAAGGTACAGGGGATACTTAGCATTAAAGTTTTTGGCATCCTATCTTTTCAAATGCATAACATAGCCAACTTCATTCAGCTTTCTCTCGCTTTTACTTTTATATTATCACTATTGCTTTTAAACATTCCACATTGTAACAGCAGTAGTTTTGCTAAGAAGGGATCCTGGATGTATATTTACCATGGAAGACTCTGAAATTAGTGCAGGTTTAATATATTTTCACTTTAATAATAAATTACATTCTCCTTTAAATTAAAAGCCATATCATGTTAAAAAACCAGTTCTTGGCAGATCATCCAAATTAAGCAGTGTCAAGCCTATTCAGTATCTAGATTGGTGACCCCCTTGGGAATGCCAGGTGATGTAAGCTTGGATATGTGGTTGGTGCAATGGATAATAGCTTATAATTGGTAATCAGTGGGCCAATTCCAATTCCAGTTGGGCTTGTTATATACACTTGCATGCAAATAGCCATGAGGAAATACTGCTGTGTCATAGGTTTAATTCTTTGAGAGTGCTCTATATGTGTTGTCTTCTGCCAGTCTAAACAAAGTAAATTCTACACACACAGAAGTTAATACCATATACACTCGCATATAGGTTGCACCAGAAGATAGTTCACACCCTTAGTTAGGAGTTGTGAAAGTCGGTTTTTGCTGTTGATCCACACATATGTTGCATTATAATCTGAGGAGTTACATGGCCCTTTTTTAACATAAATATAACTAATATTTGTTAAATATTTTCAAATATTCACCTTTATTTTAAAACTTTGCTTATATAAAACAAGAAAAGTGATTGGTTGTAATTGCATGGTATTTACTTATTGAGTGCGTGGCTGCTTTGTTTAGATGAAAATATGGATACCGGTAATTGCTTCAGTCTTAAATCATTAGAAATCATATAATAACTGGTAAATATGAGCAGTGCAAATTGAGCACTTTTATTCAATGTGGGTGACAATACTGATGGAAGATGTCATTGCGTAAAATCAAAATGTTGGGAAAAATTTGTTTTCTCCCTTGCTCTGTTATTCTTGACCCCAGGTTACTCATCTGAACTACTGATACACCACAGTCTACTTCAGATTCTCTATGACGTCAAGTGAATAGGTCACACCCCTGATTTTTATTGAAATGTTGGTGAAAAAAAGTGTAACCTATCCTTGAGTATATACAGTAGATTCACATGAAGCATTTGGTGTGTCTCAGTTTATGATGTCTTTATATCATCAGTTTTTATACCTTAGTCCCATTATGTTTATTTATCTCTATTAATTTATGTCAACACTGTCAGATTTTATGCTACAGTGTTATCATATCTTAAAACATTTAAGATAGATTTATGGTGAATATAAAATGGGAATTTCAAATCATAATAGCCGTTTTTATGAAAAATAACTTATTTTGTACTTTAACATTTTATTAAAGCAACAAATATTGATATCCTTGTCCCATTAGAGTACACACACACTCTTTTTGAAGAACTTGGTGTCTGGCGACTGGAGCCATCCTTGCACCTTTACAATAACTGTAATATGGAAGCATTTCCTCTGGAGGAATGGTTTTTTGAGAGGTACAAATGGATAATAATCTGAACTGAGATGGTTTAAGTTTGTGCAATAGATGCAGTAAAATATCCTGACTGTATTGCTGGAGTCAAAAGAGTTTGACTCCAGCAATACAAGTTAGTCGTGTGTGTGTGTGTGTGTTGGGGGTGGGGGTGTAACACACCCTAATGTAAATGTCTTGCTTTCTTTAAACAAATAGCTTCTCTTAGTCTGCTTCCAGAGTTTTAGTTCCAGTCAGTTTATATCTATTTGGGACTTACTTTTCAGGCATCTCTTATGACATTGTATAGTACATGAGTATTAACAATAAGTATTTTGCATATACTAGTGGGACAAACATCAGTACTGTTAATTTATAATCTCAACTTAAGCATGAAGTTCTCTGGAAGGGTTAACTGACAAGTTAATATATGTGATCAGGTGGTTATTGTATGGCCAATGTATGAAGAACTTGTATGTCTAATATGGGGCATACAATCTCCCCAGAAGTAAAAATATTCAGAGATGATATGTCTTAATATTGTTTTTGTTTTTCATGACATGAATTATAAAAAAGATATAGATATATAAATAATACCAAATTGTAATTGGTAGGGATTATTCCAAAGATAACATTTAATCTATGTGAGAGCTCAATACAGAGCAAATTATAATAATTAGGAAAACTGACCACATTTTATGAAATTTCTTTCATAAAATGTAGTTGATCTGATGAGATGAATATGCCCGTATTCATTGAAATAAATTTATTACCAACAATAGATTTTTAAGGTTTTTCCTAATTATATATATATATATATAGTTGTGGGAATGCTTGTTGTATTTAGATAGAAATCACTTGTCTCCTGATATTATTTTTCCTGTAACAATTATTGAGGACTTGAATGTGAGTCCTACTAATAAATGAGTAACACAAAAACAATATATAAATCAAGAGACAATGCATGTGTTAACAAAAGTATTACAATAACAATAAATGAAGAATACATTTAAAGACTAATTTCATTAAGTGTTTAAATTAGAGAATGTGTGTTTCTGTGAAATTTATGTAGGCCTATGAGATAGACATATGTGTGGAAGAGTACAAAAAGTCACAAGAGAAAAGTCATTGAAAATGAATGTTCCTCAGTTAGGGCCACTTTTTTCCCCATATGTGACTACATCTTATAGCCAGAGTTGTAAAAATAATAGAGAGACTAGGGAGAAAAATGAAGGCATTTTAGGCTTAAGGAGCTCCCCTAGAGATGTCATTTTTTTTTTTTTTTTTTTAGAAAAGTCAAGTGGGATAATCCACAATATATATGTATATATATATATATATATAGGGTTATCAGCATAATCATCGATTAAGATAAATAAGTCTGCCCATTAAAAGGAATAGCCCGAGATACTGAAATCAAGGGAGTATAGGCATTTAATCATCTAGGAAGTGTTTTATCAAATGATGGAAAATGTGACAGAGAAATTTGAAGGCATATTGGAGTAGCAAAAGATGTCTTCCAAAATCTAAACAAAGTATTAAGGAACAGGAAAATTTTATTAGACACAAAGAAAAGATCACTGAACTGCTATGTAATATAAGTCCTTCTATATATCAGTTAATACTGGACAGTTTTCCCACAGATTAAAAGGAGACTTGATACATGAGAAATGTGGACCAGTGGAATTATACTGAGAATACCATGGACACAGCATGTGAGGAACAAGGAAAATGAAAAGAAAAAAATGGTAATACTTAGAAAGAGAAAGTTAAAAATTTCTGTGACACTTAATGAGGAAAGTAGACTTGGAGAATTTGATACTCACAGGACATATTTAGGTGTAGGGGGAAACATCAAGTAACCTACCTAACAAGCTTGTGTAGATGTGTGGCAGAACAGGGACTGGGAGGGGGCAGTAAAATGACAAACATTGCTTACAAGCATAAAGGATAAAATGTTAAGATCCATGATTATCCATGTTTTAGCACATGAAATAATTACCCCCTCCCCTTCTTTTTGACTAATAATGACTAACATTAAAACAGTAGTCATTTTATTGGATGTATTGAAATAGAAAATGGAGTTCAAACTTAGGTCAACCTAATTTATTTATATTCTGTGTAGAAATGTTTGGAATCCTGACATTCACATAGCAAAAAAAAAACATGAGTAGACGGATCCCAACAAGCTCTACAGAAAATTTGACCTAAGTTCACATATGATTTGTTATTTTTTCCAGGCTGATGTCAAAATACCTGGCTTACCGCTGAAAATTATTAATGAGACCATCATTCAGGCTTTTGGTAAGTTATTTTTTATTCCTTTATTGCAAGCAATATATATATATATACACACACACACTTATTACATTATTAAAATAGAATGCGAGGATATAGCCAACAAACTGGCCTACCAAACTGACAGCACACAGTTCTTAATAATGACAGAGCCAGATTGAAAAATTACTCTTACAAAAGCATGAATTTGGACAGTTTATTCATAATTTTGACGTCTATGTACAAAAACTGGGAAAAAAAACAATAAAAAGATAAGCAGAAAGGCATTATTGTTTGAATTTAGCAAAACTTGTTTAAATGTATTCTTGCAGCATAAATATACTGATATCGATATGTATGTATGTATGTATATATATATATATATATATATATATATATATATATATATATAGAGAGAGAGAGAGAGAGAGAGAGAGATCTACATAGGGACATAGGGATCAACACTGCATTTCTGTATGTCAGTTTTACACTTTATTCTGATCTTCATACCATATAGTGTTGATTCTCATCTCAACACTGAGAAACTCTTTTTCTGTTAATATAGTAATGGTAAGTGTTGTTTACTTATAAGGAAACATTCAGCATTTAGTGACTAAACATTTAGCATTACTGTCATTTGGAATTTATAAAATCATTTTTTCACAACTGTTTTTAGGAAAATAGACTTCTCATGTCTAATGACTGTTGTTTGCTCTTTCTAGTATTGATGGAAGTTTCCTTCCTAACCTTTTGTTTAAGGTGATGTAGAAAGTCGGCATCCTATTTCTATCATTATTTTCCTATCTAGCTACATGTGTGATCAACCTATCAACCATATGTATGAGCAATTACATATACATACGGGTAAGCAGATAACTTTATTTAATCAATCGTGCATACAAAACAGTGCTCAGTGTAGGTAAACAGAGCTATAAAGTATATATTAATAATTACACATATATCTACATTTATAATACAACTACAGTTTTGTAGTGAACAGTTTGTAGCTTTTTGTACCTGATGATTGGCAAAGCCATGAAACTCTGATCTGTACTGTAAAGATATATATATATATATATAATGGATTTTTAACCTTATTTTTATTACTCCAAATGTTATTTTTAATAGATAGGTGTATTTGGGTAGATACTTTGTTTTTCTAAACACTGTTTATTTTGTTTACTGGCCTGCATACTTGAGAAAATTTAATAAAGAAAATATGCCTTCTTACAAGATTTGAACCTGCATCACCCCTTGTAAGAGGAACCAACCACTGATCTAGCATGTTTCACAGTCAAGTAAGTTTGTATTTGTGAATGTTTTTGAAGGGAAATATAAACTTGCTTGACTATGAAGATATCTGTAACTGAGCAGTCAAAGTATGCCAAATCAGATATGAAAAATAATGTTTGAAGTAATATATTCAACTTGTTGGAAGTACTGGCCAGACAAGCTATGTTTCATTGAACAAACCACTACATATGGGAAAACTTCTCATCTCAGCTCCATGAAGGATTTGTATTTGTGAAGTGAGGACAGCCATTGTCATACAATGAAATCCCAGGTCATTACCCTGGAAAGGGACTTTTTCTCTCTCTGTATGCATTGCAGTATTGCCCAGGTAAATTTTATATTTGATCACAAAAGAACAATTCTAGATTTGACCTAATGACCATGCTGAGGAAACTATACTCATATTCATGTGTGAGCAAAACATGACTATTTGTCTAATGAAGTCCATGTACCTGCAAAACATCTCTGACCCAAAAAGCATAAACAGTACAAGATCCCTTAAAGTTTTCATTTAATTTATAAGTTCTTCGTTGAACATACTCCATAATTGCACAGTGGTATTGGGATCTGGGGAGTTTGGTGGCCTGAGAAACATATCAAAGTTTTCCTTTTTTTTTTGAAACTGTTCCTGCACAATTTGTACTGAGTGGCAGGGTGCATTTTCCTACCCCAAAATTGACACCACTAGCGTAGCAGATTGCTGGTATAAAGGGTTATACCTATTTTTTTTGTTTTTGTTTTTACAGATGTTGAGATATGTGATACAAGAAGAATTTGAATAAGATAATCCAATATTTTCCATCAGAATGTTTCCTAAACTATCAGACTGCTTCCAATTGCTTTCTTTCTTACAGTGCATCTTACTGCCATCACTTCCACAAGTTAACAATGCATATGTACTCTGCTGTCCAATTCAAGATAAAGTGACATACATCATGTCAAGCCCCCTTTTTTTCCATTGACATAAAATCCAGTCCCAGTGTGCCCATTGAAGAGACTTTGGTTGATAGAATTTGATTAGTATGGTTCGCTGTGTAGCCTGGTATTATTTAATAATAACTTTAAAAAAAAAAAAGAAAATACCTGAGGTAGTATAAGCTGCAAACATCATGGAATACTCTGATCTCCATAGTGGAATAGGAAAATGCTATCAAGTGCCCAGAAGATTGCAAAATGCTGTTTGAGACAGTATACTTCTGCCTATAAATATTAATCATTTGGACATTTAAATTGTTTGAAAGAATATACTGCATCTGTGTGGATAATCTGGATTTGAGTTTAAAATCTACTCCTGGTTATTTTACTATCTTATTTGAACAAATCTTAAGGGATTAAACCTTTTTCTATTTTTTAATTTATAATCCTAAATCATTTCTTATTGTCATAAAATTATCTTTAGTGGTTATTTGTATTTGAGTCTCCTTCTATATGCCATGTCCTTTCAGGACGTTAGTGATCATGGCCCTCCACATCTTCATGTCTATTGTAGCTCTTAATAAATTTTGTCTTTTTGTTTTCTCTCCTAAACCCTGTTCTGCAATCTATTTCATCAAGCCCACAAAATAGGTATTGCCTTGTTTTTCTCTTTCCTCTCTTGCCTTCAATATGCCTTGTGAATATCAAATTTTCCTAGTCCTCTTTCCTCATTATGTACTCAAGAAATTTCAGCTTTATCTGATGTTAAGTATAAGTTTTCTTTTTGTTTCCATTTTCTCTAAAATGTCGCCATTGATCACCTGTTTTGTTCATGGTATTCTCACCATCCTTCTGTAGAACCACATTTCTGTTGCTTTAAGTTTCTTCTTCATCTGTGAGGAGATTGACCAGCATTCACTGCCATATAAGAGGACCGATATTAAGTAATAGTTCAGTACTGTTTGTTTCTAATAAAATTTTCCTGTTTCTTAATACTTTGCTTATTATATTTCACTATCCCAATGTACCTTCAGATTTCAGTGCCACACTTTCTATCCTCTGTTAAAACACTTTCCTAATATATAAATTGTAAACATTCCATTTACTGTGACGTCTTTTTGTGTCTGAGTGGTCTGAAGCTCACCTGACTTGAAGGTGGTTTCCTCTGTCCAAGAAGGATGCAGGTTCAAATTCTTCTAAAGGTACACTACTCTTATTAAAGCATCTCAAGTTGCCCACACCAGCAGACATCAATTATACTGTTAAAAAAGCAAAATCAAAACCATTATGTCTATGCAAATGTATGTATCCACTGAATATAATGTTTATAGTAATAACAATTGAAATATTTGTAAATTACTAAAATAGTAAGTTTACTATTTTTGCTTTTGAGCCTTTTGGGATCTTTGACTTTTTCAATTTTTTTCCAGATAATTTTTCTTAGTTTCTGCATATGCAAATAAACTAACCTTTCTTAAAAAACCCAGAAATGCTGGATTGTGCCTAGCTATCAGAAAGAGAATCTCTATTCTTCTCATATTATGGTTGACTTAGCATTCAACTTGTGAACTAGTCGGAACAGGTTCAGCTTTTCTTGTGGAAAAACACAAACTGACACATGACGGATAGAAATCATTGTATGGGCTTCTTTTCTCCTTCTTTTTTTTTTTTTTCTTTCTGTTGGAAAATTTTCTTGTAAACAAGAAGTATTTGAAAAGAAAACAAACTTACTTAACCAGGAGGAAATTGTGTATCTTTTTAAGAATAAAAAAAAAAAAAACTGGGAGAAAGAAATATCTTCTTGAATTCTTTCCGGTGTAGAAACCAACTCAATAAAATGATTGCTTTCTTAGAAATTTGCATATATTTTCTTTCACCTTTTGTAAACATAGTTAAAAGATTTGGAATATTTAATTTTTTTTACTTCTGTCTTGTTTCTGCCATTGTTCTTTGATTTTTCTTTCTCACTCTTTCTGTTTTCCTTCTCATATGTTCTGATTTCCATTTAGTTCTGTCTTTAGTCACATTTTCTTTCACCTCAGTTTCCTTTCTCACTTTTTTATTTAAATTTCTTTTTACCATAATTTTTGCCATTTTCCTGATTTTGTTTTTCATCTTCGTCCTTCTTTCATATATTCTCTATCTCCATTTTCTTTCCAGTTTTTATTTTCATTGGAATTTTTTTCATTCCTCCTCTTTCTCAATCATCATGACCTTTCTTTCCTCCTCTTTCTCAACCATCATGTCCTTTCTTTCCTCCTCTTTCTCAATCATCATGACCTTTCTTTCCTCCTCTTCCTCAATCATCATGACCTTTCTTTCCTCCTCTTTCTCAACCATCATGTCCTTTCTTTCCTCCTCTTTCTCAATCATCATGTCCTTTCTTTCCTCCTCTTTCTCAATCATCATGCCCTTTCTTTCCTCCTCTTTCTCAACCATCATGACCTTTCTTTCCTCCTCTTTCTCAATCATCATGTCCTTTCTTTCCTCCTCTTTCTCAATCATCATGCCCTTTCTTTCCTCCTCTTTCTCAATCATCATGACCTTTCTTTCTTACCTCAATCTTACTCTATTATCAGGTCCTTTCATTCTTCACTCATCTTTTTCTATTGTCATGTAACTACATTTCTTTCTTTCCTCCTCTTTCTATGTCATCATGCCCTTTTTTCATTTTGTCTTCCCCTTTCTCTATCATCATGCCCTTTCTTTCTTTTCTCCTCTTTCTCTATCATCATGTCCTTTCTTTCTTTTCTCCTCTTTCTATCATCATGTCCTCCCTTTTTTCCTCCTCTTTCTTCACAATCATGTCCTTTTTTTTCTACCTCTGCTTTCTTTATCATTCCCCTTTTTTCTTTCTTCTATCATCATGTCCTTTCTTTCTGCTTTTTCTTTATTGTATCCTTTCTTTCTTTCCACCTCTTTTTCTATCATCATCTTCTTTCTTTCCTCCTCCTCTTTCTTCATCGTCATGTCCTTTCTGTTCCTTTTTTTCTCTATCATTATGTCCTTTGTTTCCTCCACTTTCTCTATTGACATCCATTCTTTCTTTACTTTTCTCTGTCTTTTCTTCCTCTTTCTCTATTATCACGTCTTTTTAATTCTTCCTCTTTCTTTATCATCACATCTTTTCTTTCCTTCTTCTTTCTATCTTCATTTCCTTTTATTTCTTCCATCTTCTTTCTCTATCATCATCTTTCTTTCTTTCTCCCTTTTCTCTATTGCCATGTTGGTTCTTTCTTTCCTCCTCTTTATCTATCATCCTGGCTTTCTTTCTTTATTTATTTCATACCTAGATTTTATTCTTTCTTATTTTATTCAATTTCAGATAATTCTTTTTCTTTAGTAAAGCTGACTTTTTCATCCATTTTTTAATCCATTAGTTATTTATTTTTGTACATTTCTTTCTTTCAAATAATTATTTCCTTGCCACCATTTTGCCATTTTATTTTCTTTCTTTACTTCTTCTGACATTTGTTATTTTACATCCATTCTTTTTCTTATTTTTTTTCTTTTTCTCACTCAGTTTTATTTGCAGATTTTTTTCCCCACCATGCATTTTACTCAAAGAACCTAAGGAAAAATAATCTTTACTACATTTTACTTTTTTTTAGTTTTGTTAGCTAAATCAGGTAAAAAAAAAAAGGAAAAATAACCACTGAATCAATAAGTTAGTCACTGTTGCCTGAACTTTTCTCCTCTTTCATCGAGCACACTTACAATTGTCGGTCCAGTTTGTAATTTGCACTCACTTAATGTTTGTTGTATAACAACTTTTCAAATATTTTCTTTCTTTTTATTCAATCTAGAAAAAGCAAAAAATTTTTTTGAATACAAGCAAAAATACATAAACATTATTAGTGTTTGATTTTAAAATATTTTTTTAACCTACAAATTATTTTTACAGTTCGTTTTTGCTGTTACAAAACAAACTTTATTTACATGAATGATGATTATTATTATTATTGCCTTTTACGCAAAAATAAAGATATAATTATAATGGTGGGATCTTTTTTATTTTCCCATTAAGGCGTGTTCTTTAGGCTGACTGAATGAATCTGTGGGTCTATTTTAACTTGCACCACAAGATACTAGCAGAGCTATGCAAAAGATAACTAAATAATATCTGCAATCTGCTTCTTGAGTTGTATCAGAAGACTAAAAGACAGTGTAATGGTTTTACACATTATTATTAGAATAGAATGAGACTAAAAGAAGGTGTAATGGTTTTACACATTATTATTAGAATAGAATGAGACTAAAAGAAGGTGTAATGGTTTTACACATTATTATTAGAATGGAATGAGACTAAAAAGAAGGTGTAATGGTTTACACATTATTATTATTAGAATAGAATGAGACTAAAAGAAGGTGTAATGGTTTTACACATTATTATTAGAATAGAATGAGACTAAAAGAAGGTGTAATGGTTTTACACATTATTATTAGAAGGAATGAGACTAAAAAAGGTGTAATGGTTTTTACACATTATTATTATTAGAATAGAATGAGACTAAAAAGAAGGTGTAATAGTTTTTACATTATTATTATTAGAATAGAATGAGACTAAAAGAAGGTGTAATGGTTTTACACATTATTATTAGAATAGAATGAGACTAAAAAGAAGGTGTAATGGTATTACACATTATTATTAGAATAGAATGAGACTAAAAAGAAGGTGTAATGGTTTTACACATTATTATTAGAATAGAATGAGACTAAAAAGAAGGTGTAATGGTTTTACACATTATTATTATTAGAATAGAATGAGACTAAAAAGAAGGTGTAATGGTTTTACACATTATTATTATTATTAGAATAGAATGAGACTAAAAGAAGGTGTAATGGTTTTACACATTATTATTATTAGAATAGAATGTGACTAAAAAAAGAAGGTGTAATGGTATTACACATTATTATTAGAATAGAATGAGACTAAAAGAAGGTGTAATGGTTTTTACATTATTATTAGAATGGAATGAGACTAAAAAGAAGGTGTAATGGTTTTACACATTATTATTATTAGAATAGAATGAGACTAAAAGAAGGTGTAATGGTTTTACACATTATTATTATTAGAATAGAATGAGACTAAAAGAAGGTGTAATGGTTGTACACATTATTATTATTAGAATAGAATGTGACTAAAAGAAGGTGTAATGGTATTACACATTATTATTAGAATAGAATGAGACTAAAAGAAGGTGTAATGGTTTTACACATTATTATTAGAATAGAATGAGACTAAAAGAAGGTGTAATGGTTTTACACATTATTATTATTAGAATAGAATGAGACTAAAAGAAGGTGTAATGGTTTTACACATTATTATTATTAGAATAGAATGAGACTAAAAGAAGGTGTAATGGTTTTACACATTATTATAAGAATAGAATGAGACTAAAAGAAGGTGTAATGGTTTTACACATTATTATTATTAGAATAGAATGAGACTAAAAGAAGGTGTAATGGTTTTACACATTATTATTATTAGAATAGAATGAGACTAAAAGAAGTTGTAATGGTTTTACACATTATTATTATTAGAATAGAATGAGACTAAAAAGAAGGTGTAATGGTTTTTACATTATTATTAGAATAGAATGAGACTAAAAAAGAAGGTGTAATGGTTTTACATTATTATTAGAAGGGAATGAGACTAAAAGAAGGTGTAATGGTTTTTTACATTATTATTATTAGAATAGAATGAGACTAAAAAGAAGGTGTAATAGTTTTACATTATTATTATTAGAATAGAATGAGACTAAAAGAAGGTGTAATGGTTTTACACATTATTATTAGAATAGAATGTGACTAAAAGAAGGTGTAATGGTATTACACATTATTATTAGAATAGAATGAGACTAAAAGAAGGTGTAATGGTTTTACACATTATTATTAGAATAGAATGAGACTAAAAGAAGGTGTAATGGTTTTACACATTATTATTATTAGAATAGAATGAGACTAAAAGAAGGTGTAATGGTTTTACACATTATTATTATTAGAATAGAATGAGACTAAAAGAAGGTGTAATGGTTTTACACATTATTATTATTAGAATAGAATGTGACTAAAAGTAGGTGTAATGGTTTTACACATTATTATTAGAATAGAATGTGACTAAAAGAAGGTGTAATGGTATTACACATTATTATTAGAATAGAATGAGACTAAAAGAAGGTGTAATGGTTTTACACATTATTATTAGAATGGAATGAGACTAAAAGAAGGTGTAATGGTTTTACACATTATTATTATTAGAATAGAATGAGACTAAAAGAAGGTGTAATGGTTTTACACATTATTATTATTAGAATAGAATGAGACTAAAAGAAGGTGTAATGGTTGTACACATTATTATTATTAGAATAGAATGTGACTAAAAAAGAAAATGGTATTAATTATTATTATTAGAATAGAATGAGACTAAAAGAAGGTGTAATGGTTTTACACATTATTATTAGAATAGAATGAGACTAAAAAGAAGGTGTAATGGTTTTACACATTATTATTAGAATAGAATGAGACTAAAAGAAGGTGTAATGGTTTTACATTATTATTATTAGAATAGAATGAGACTAAAAGAAGGTGTAATGGTTTTACACATTATTATTAAGAATAGAATGAGACTAAAAGAAGGTGTAATGGTTTTACACATTATTATTATTAGAATAGAATGAGACTAAAAGAAGGTGTAATGGTTTTACATTATTATTATTATTAGAATAGAATGAGACTAAAAGAAGGTGTAATGGTTTTACACATTATTATAAGAATAGAATGAGACTAAAAGAAGGTTAATGGTTTTACACATTATTATTATTAGAATAGAATGAGACTAAAAGAAGGGTAATGGTTTTACACATTATTATTATTAGAATAGAATGAGACTAAAAAGAAGGTGTAATGGTTTTACACATTATTATTATTAGAATAGAATGAGACTAAAAGAAGGTGTAATGGTTTTACACATTATTATTATTAGAATAGAATGAGACTAAAAGAAGGTGTAATGGTTTTACATTATTATTATTAGAATAGAATGAGACTAAAAAGAAGGTGTAATGGTTTTACACATTATTATTATTAGAATAGAATGAGACTAAAAAGAAGGTGTAATGGTTTTACACATTATTATTATTAGAATAGAATGAGACTAAAAAGAAGGTGTAATGGTTTTACACATTATTATTATTAGAATAGAATGAGACTAAAAGAAGTTGTAATGGTTTTACACATTATTATTATTAGAATAGAATGAGATAAAAGAATGTGTAATGGTTTTACACATTATTATTATTAGAATAGAATGAGACTAAAAGAAGGTGTAATGGTTTACACATTATTATTATTAGAATAGAATGAGACTAAAAGAAGGTGTAATGGTTTTACACATTATTATTAGAATAGAATGAGACTAAAAGAAGGTGTAATGGTTTTACACATTATTATTAGAAGGGAATGAGACTAAAAGAAGGTGTAATGGTTTTACACATTATTATTATTAGAAGAATAAAGAATGAGACTAAAAGAAGGTGTAATGGTTTTACACATTATTATTATTAGAATAGAATGAGACTAAAAGAAGGTGTAATGGTTTTACACATTATTATTATTAGA